AAATGTAAGTTGGATGAGTAATGAAACAATGTTTTCGCTGAGTTGTCATTTTTTAACGGCCGTCACCTACCACGTGTGTTTTTCGTCCACCACATCAACTTCAATGGTAACGGAATTTGGTGAGTGATGGATGTTGTGCAACGGCAAAAAGTTCAGTGACCATTAAGAGACAATTTGAAGTTTAGTGAGTAAGTCGTGACCATGTTAAAGTTCAGTGACGGTTAAAACATTTTACTCCAAACACTGCCAATATAATCCATTCCTCACTACAAAAATCTTCATTTTTCCTTTCATTTCTCATTTCTCAGATTCTCATTGAATTTGTTAAAGTAAAACGAAGGAATTTGTAGCCAGAAAACTAAGATCATGCAGAAAAGCCATCATCGCAAGTTGAAGCCTGAAAATCCATGGTTTCTGGCCATGGTTATGGTGGGATTGATCAGCAGCGCGTTGCTTATTGCTTCATTTTTAAGGGGAAATGCTTCTTCTACAGTATTTTGTAATGGTGGTACACGGCGGTCGGCCACCGTCGGGGACGTGACTGAGCTCCAGCTTGAAGCCATTCTCCATTACGCGACGTCGAAGGTGATCCCACAGCAAAATATTGATGAGATACGACTCTCTTACGACGTTCTCAGATCTCTTTCTCCGTGCAATTTCCTCGTGTTTGGACTGGGTCACGATTCCCTCATGTGGGCCTCTTTCAACCCTCGCGGAACCACCTTATTCCTCGAGGAGGATCCCAGGTGGGTCCAGACAGTGCTCAAAGACGCCCCTGGCCTCCGCGCCAACACCGTCAACTACCGCACCAAGCTGTCCGACGCCGACAACCTCCTCTCGCACTACCGCAATGAACCGGACTGTTCGCCGACAAAATCTTTCATCCGCGGTAATAGCAAATGCAAATTAGCACTGAATATGCTACAGGACGAGGTGTACGATAAGGAGTGGGACATTATAATGATTGACGCGCCGCGTGGGTATTTCCCAGAAGCGCCGGGGAGGATGGCAGCTATTTACTCCGCCGCCGTGATGGCGAGGAATAGGAAAAGTCCTGGCGTGACCCACGTGTACTTGCATGACGTGGAGCGCAAGGTGGAGAAGGTTTACGCAGAAACCTTCTTGTGTAAGAAGAATCTGGTGAAGGCTGTGGGGAAGCTATGGCATTTCGAGATTCCACCAACAGCAACGATGAACAGTGTGTTTTGCTAGAATGCGCCTCCAGTGCTCATGTTATTATCATGTGTGGATTATTACTTCCTTTTTGACAGCTCACACTTTGCCCTGATTACAGATTACCGAAGTTCATAGATAAGTCAAGTTTTGTTTATATATAAATAAGATTTTCAGTATATTTTAATAAAAATTATACGAATAATAATTATAAAAATATGAGTATAATGAAACATATTGTTAAAATGTCTTTGATAAGAAATGAGGACAAAACAATTTCTGTATTTTCATTTTCTTTTAATATTGCCTTTTCTTGAACGAATCCCAACAAGTTGTTATATTTAAAAATTTGATTAAAAATGAATCTTGGAATAATTTTGCACTCAACTTTCACCGACATGGGCTATTTTCCATTGATTTGAAGTGTCTGCATATGATTTGACGAAAAAGCTCTGTATTTAAAAGAGTTCAATTATATAATGTTAGAAGGTGTTTGGTGTAGATAAAAATCAGATTTTAAGTGGATTGTGATAGAAGTTTTTGAAATGTGTAGTTGAAAAGATGTGGAACTCATGAAAGATATGATTGATATTGATTGTTTGACTTTGATCAGATTAAAATTTGGTCCAAACAAGGCATATAACACTATCATGATTCTTGTCGTATTGCAGTCAGAGCCCTCCTACATTGCCAGGGCCACATGCTGGCAAAGTAGAAAAACCCTTGCAGTTATTTACCTTCAAATTTGATTTCTTAATTGTTCTTGATTATATTCCACATCAAAGGGACTTCTGAATGTAACTTACCTTGTTTCACAGCGATCAACAAAAGAAAATGAAAAGTAATTTTTGGAATGTTTTTCCCCTTCTGAGTATTTCGCTAACATAACGTTTGCTGTATGCTTGATGTTGTGGTTAAAACTAGAGCGGAATTGGATTGAAGAGTATAATAGATAAGAATTTAACTTCTTTTGTTCTCTAGTGCATAACTTTAACAGATGACAACTAGGCTTAGCATCAGATTGTTCTGCCTCTAATTTCCAGAAAACTTACAAGAGTAGAAGAAAAATCTCTCTCATTCTGCACTTTGATATAGAACAGTGCACTTTAAATGATTACACAGATAGTGGTGCAGTATCGAATGAGTTCTTCCTTACTAAGAGGCAAGTGATCTTGGCGGGTTGAGAATGCATATTATCAACGGCGCACAAGACAAAATCAGGCCGATGCAGTGCAAGTGTGAGCCGGTTTTTCCCAACATCCAAACCAGTTGCATCAAGAAGAACATGCCAAGAATTTCTATGTGCCTCTGATATCCAATGCATGGAGAAACGAGCTTCATTCGCGCAAGCAGAGTAAGCAAAAAGCCCTTTTGGACTATATTTGCATTTTCTTCTGAAGTATTGGCTAAGCTGTGATCCTTTGATCCTTAAATCCAACCATGTTTCTGGTGCTGCAATAACCTTTGAATCCTTATTCTGTACGAATTCCCTTACACAATCACGCTCTTCTCCAAGAATTGTCAAGTAATAGTTTCCTCTAAAGAAGGGATAAGATTCCCCAATCATCATCATCGCTTCCTTACTAGTACGTGTAAAAAGCACCAAATAATCCTCTTCTGTCAATCCACAATTCTGCAAGGCTCGATTTCTCACCTGTATTTCTGGGATGGAAACGAAATTCCCCTGGGATGACGTTTTCTTAGCCAGGATATCAAGTAATTTGGAAGGCTCCAATTGAATTTTGCCCATATCTGAAGGAGTACCACTACCAAAAGAAGGCGAAGACGACTCTCTAACAGAATTCATCGGGGATTTTCGTCTGTCATCAGCCATGGATTCTGATGATTCATCATTGACACAGAGACTGTATAAATCAATCTTGTCTCCTTCTCCAACAAGTCCATTGCAGTATTCTGGGTACTTTGCAAAAACATACTGCTGCACATACTGCCTCTCACTAGGCGTAATGGGGCCTGACCATCTCAGATCAAGACCATGAAGCGTTGATATGGCTTCTGCTACCAAGTGAGCAGGAATCACAGTATGTGCTTTCTGTTATTTAAGAAAATAATCCAATCAGAAACAGAAATCTCATTCTAGTACTAAATAAACACAAATAAGAGCATGTAATTGCAAACAAATGAAAGCGTCTCGGGAGACAGACTCATTCCTTCCTTTTGAAACTGTCCGTCTTATCAAGGATTTGACCCTGGCGCCTAAAGGCAACCTAGGAGAGAAAAAATCACTCTCAGGGTGAGCTTTTTTATGGGATTATGCTCCTCCTACCCTGATATGATCCCGAACTACTAAAGGAAGCTCGAGATAGAAAGACTCCTCTAGCTGAGCTTTTACGGGGACTTCCTGAGTTTGAGAACGCGGCCTTCAGCAAAAAGAAAATGAAAAAAGATACTATTAGTGATTGAACTTGCCTTGATCACCATACTGGTTGGTCTGCTGTTTTGGTTTGGTGAGTTTGGCATAGAACTTGCCTGTTCTTCATTGAATTGTTCCATGATCAAATTCACTTCCTATCAAGAACAAAAAGAAGCAATCAAGTAACTTGCATAAGCATTTTTTGCTGGCTGAACACTTGCATTTATATATACTATAGAAGGCCGACATATATGACAGCAAAGACCCACAACATAGAATCATCAAACATTGATTTAGGAGTAATAATTTAACCATGATTTAGGGCGTAACTTTGTGTATAAATCTATTAGATAGAAAACGACTTGGTTGTTAATAATTTGATTGTATTCAAACTGACATTGCCCGAAGCTGTACTAAACCCACCCGGTAACTTTTTTCATGGGGACCGGAGTGGATGTTGCCAATCTGGTTCTGATCGAACTGGCATCTTAGCAATCCAAGCATTACGGTCAGTCTAAAGGGGTCAAGTTGACTCGCCGAATTCAAAACCTCTACCTTTGTTTTTAATCAGATTTGTATTAAAATTTAAAGGACTGTTATCTTTATCATTTTCAAGCCGTTTTCTGTTTCGATTTTCCAAAATAGTGAAAACGCACTCTCTTCTCTATTTTCGAACACATATTTTTGAAAACAAGTTAAAAATTTACAAAGAAAACCCAAAACGATCGCTTTGGGTGTTTTTAGTTATAAGTAAGTCAAAATTTTCAAAACGCATTTTGATTGTTTTTAAAATGCCAAAAAGAACACATTTTCAACAATTTCAAAATAAACACTCAAAACACAAAACTCAAAACATAAAATTGAAATACAAAGAAAACAATCCATAATACTTCGAAAGTGGAGAATTCTATTAAAATAATATAAATTATTCAATCTCGGGCCCACAAAAAACCAATTTTGTTTATTGACCTGGACTTTCAGTCAAGTAGCTTATTGTTTAAACAATTCCTGAAAAAGAACTGAGGGAAAATTGCAAAATTTTTTATTAATTATTTTTTAATAATTTTGTTTATGATATTTGATTTGAAATTCATGGGTAGAACTTTGAACAGATAGTGACCCTTGAATCAATTGAGGACGTTGGCAAGCAGGTTTGGGTGGGAATCTTTGTAGGTTGAGAAAAAGACTACACTTGTGGGGTTATTTACTAATGATGCTTAATTATATAATTAACCAATTAATATATTAATTATTAGTTAAAGAAATTAATGTTTGGACCAAAAGGGAATTGTTTTATCATGAAAATTGAAAAGGAAGCATCTTTCCTTTTTGAAACTTAAGTGCAAGAAACCAATTGGTCATCCGAATGTAATATGTAACCATAATGTCAACATGCTAGTTGGTAAGTTGTCATTAATTTTGGATTTTATTAATTAAAATTTCATTTTTTCGTTGGAAATTAATAAATTGTACAACCACTCAATAAATAAATAAATAATGGGTCGAACCCTTTCGCAAACTGCATTTCATCGAGAATGAAATTTACCGTTTCACTTCTTGATGAACGAGGAAAGTTCGATAAATCAAGAGATGTTTATCGATTCAAAACCGTAAAAAGGGTTCAGTCGACATACAGTTAGTGGGAGGATAATAAGAAGTTCAAACTATTCTACAATCTCGTAACATTTTTGCACAACACTTTCTAAATAACGACATTTTTTACATGTTTCGAAATAAAAATTTGATTGAAAGTAACTTCTACTTACTTTTAAGCTTAGTCAAACATGCTTTAGTCCAATTAAAAATCCTCTTACAATAAATCCAAACGTACAAGTCAAGAGCTACATATCCTTGTGACAAGCAAACTACTAAACAATTGGGAGAACTTTGACTGGCACAGTCATTACTAATGTAACTTGAAGCTCAAGTCTCCAACTTATTAAGGCATCATATCTACCCACAAATAGGACACAATAAAATAAAAATGACGTATTTGATATGCTAGAATCGACCGTCCAATACTATTTACTAGACAGCTACATGCTTCACAATCAAATATTATCATCCAAGGTTTCAGACTGTCGTTAGCCTAAGGTTAAATGTCGTGTTCTAAACTTATAACTGAAAAATTACCAAGTTGTTGTGGGCGTAGATTCCTAAAATTGGTTACTGCATAAGATTTTTAGGCTAAATCCATCCTACTAAGCCTACACACCATCATTGCACTGAAGTAAAGAACATTTAATACAGATATCAATATAAAAATGTGAAATAAATAAGATAAAAAGAAAAAGTGCAAACATGATGCCCGAGTTGATTAGCCTTCTGTGGAGAATTCAATAGTACATCTACAAAAAGTATTTCATCCTGTCATCTCTTCTCATAGCGTTGTATACTGCTTGGACCTGAAAAGCACAATTCAATTAGATTATTCATATGCAACCGTGCGTATAAACATCTTTTGACATTTTCTTCTTGTCAGACATGAAATTCATTTTCACTCTTTTTCTGAGTTGGATCATGGAATATTGAATCCGTCTTGCACTACGCATGTTTATTTCAAATTTTTTTGTGGCACACACGTGTGAACAGCTGTATACATACACATGCAGGCACACACAGAGAGAGAGAGAGAGAGAGAGAGAGAGAGAGAGAGATAGAGAGAGAGAACCTGCTCACTAGAAACTACTTGAACAGGTCCAATGTTCACCGATACGTATTTGCCACCTGAGGATACTCTGTGTTTCACTTTGCCCTGCAGCAGAACACAGTAAACTTAAACTGCCTACATTTAACAAGTTTGGGAGATCAAATAAGTTACTTGAGCTGAGTTACACTTTTTATCTGGTTTTACGAGATGCCCTCTGGCCAAAAAAGTGTACACAAGAAGAAAAAGAGCTAATAACAATTAGAAACTTTAACAACCATTGTCAACATAAATATGACACGTGAGTAACTATGTATAAAGTAGAATGTGATACTAATACAGGAAATAAAGTATGCCAACGAAATTGAAATTATAGTATGTTCTTGACAAGATCTCAATTTGTTTAGTGACGAGAAATAAACTTATAGAAGCGAATGAAGTTTTGAAAAATGTTTCAAACTTCACATACCAAAAGTGCTCCTACAACCTAAAGTTGTGCAGTTCAAGTTCAGCTTCAAACAGGATTAATTTCATTTGAACATTTCACACTAAAAATTCAAGTACAACTGCCTCACAATCAAACTCCCAAGGGAACTTCTGAATATTACACAAAACCGAACAAGACACGAGATAGAATTAAATTATAAATGATATGTATACTACATGGGAAAGATTTATGAAATTGGAGTGGTTCTTGACAATTCCTAGTTATCTTACCAAATAGAACCTTCTATAGGCTCACCCTTACAAATGCATAAAGTTGAATATGATTCCAACTCTTACTTTTGAAATGGTGGCAATGTTAGTACTGAATTACCATCCACACTTTGGGCGATATTTCAACAACGACAAGTACATCTTGTTTCATCTCTACTCCCTACTGCTTGTATAAGTTAGGGGATCCATGCCAACATTTTGACATGTGTTCAAGCAAAACTATTATTGCTCAAAAATAAGGGCACATTTATATTTCATTTCAAAAAGAACATAAATACATCAACATCTCATGATCTTACATTGACAAAACCCACTAAACCACGATCATAGGGACTCAACATGGTACCAAAAATATCCCCCACTTATATGTTTTACCTACATATCATCAAGTGCATGTATAAGAACTAATTATGCCATCTAGTCGTCTTCTGCGCACTGATGTTCAACTAATAAATCAAGAAATAGCGGAACATAATTTAAATTCTACATAGAAATGCCACCTACCTAAGAAGGCTAATTAAATAAATAATTCTTGTTGAACCACCTCATTTAGAAACTCAAGTTGTTAGATAGGTGACAAATTTTCATTTATCTATCAACACACCCACACCCCTAACGTGCAGGCCAAGTTCACTTTTTATCTTCAAAAGGATTGACGCTGTGCACAATTTTCATAATTGGGGTTGGCTAGCTTTAGATTCACAACCTTTGCCGGTTCCTCTACCATGATAAGCCGCCTTATCTAAAATTTTAAGCTATAGAGACGAGAATAATTTATCCGTTTAAAATTTGTCTTCAACAATTCTTTAGCATGAGAGAGAATAACGTGAAATCAAAGAGAAATATCAAATTCATAGTAATTTAGAACCAGAGTCTTAACAAGTTCCATTGTTCCCTATTATCCTCTCAAATGTATGTTGAATTTCGTAGGTTGTTGAAATTCCGTCTCGTGTATTATACATTATATTATGATAATGCCAATCGTGAAAAAATTACAGTTTTAAAAATTCACGAGTTTCTTAAAAGATCAAGGAATTAGGGGTAACAACTGCTTTATTCTTGCACACCCTCCAGCAAAGGCCTCCCAGTTTATGCATGACGACTCCCTTTCCTTTTATCATGCCAAAACCTTTCATAGATTTTAGAATGAAATCTACGAGAAGTTATGCATGACAGCCTCCTTTCCTCATATTGTGCCAAAATCTTTCATAGATTTTTGGGATGTAATCCAAGTGAAGCGAATACATTATGTTACTCTAAAACAATTTACCATCATATAGCATTCTTTATATGACATTCACTTCATCATCAATCAGGCAGTCGTGTTTGGATAACTCGTAGTAGAGAGAATAAAAGAGAAGCGGACATGAAGAGAAAATACGAAGAAAGAAAATTCAAGCAAGAATTTATTATGCACCAGGAGTGCCTTCAAATTTTTTAGTGATGCCATATTCTATTAAAAGTTGATGGGTAAAAATATGTTCTCTTCTTCTATTATTGAAACAAAATAAATATGGCACACGTCTTTGTACCTTCATTTAGTTTCATACCTTGGGACAGCCCCTCCTTCCCGTCCCTCGAAGATTACCCAAAAGGAAAAATCAATGTCGGCTAAAGAAAACTACAATAACTGACGTCTCAAATGCTCAACACAGTTAATCCATTAACTAGACAATGATATGTGCTAAAAGCTGACTTTTTATGTGGTCATACATTTGATAGTAGGAACAACGGAGAAAAATATTCCAGCTTAAACCCACTCAACATGGTCTTTTTGCCAACCATCACCCTTATATAAAAGGGTATCACGCCCTAAACCCTAATTTCTTCCCTGGTCTCTCTAAAACATCTATTATATCTTAAACTTGCTCAAATTGGACGATAACAAAGCAAATTGAAGACACGTTGAATAACATTTGCTCAAGCATTTGTTATTTGGACAAGCTGTGTTGGTGCCAGTATGTGTTGAAATGCCTTATTCTTGGAACCTCTAAATTTGATATATTCGGAAGAGGTAAGAATGTCAATATCTAGACCTGTTTTCCCTTATTAAGAAGCAAATTGATGTCCAATATAATAAAAAACCGATCAAAATGGACATCCAAATGTAGTTTTAGTAGTTGCAGAAACATAACTAATATCTATGATATACTTCATAAATGTCTTATAGAAACAGAAAGGATTTTATTGCATGTTAAAAGAGAATGAAAAGCATTTGAGGGCCGCCACTCTACTTCACGAAGAAATATTTCTTTAAAACGTGAAATATTACACTCTGACTAAGACATAAAACAATTAAAACCTTCACTGAAAAGATCCTGAAGCTTTTGCTAGTGATAATGCCAAGAGTGAAATGTGACCCAAGAACTTAAAGTGGAGTGATCTGATTATGAAAGACCACATCATTTCTCTTCGTCCAAGTATGCTAAAACATATACATCAGACTGAACCTTGAACAAAAACTCATACTCCAATCTATAGCCAAATCTTTAGGACTTAATTTGCAACGTATTTTCTACCAGTTTTCTAATTTTTTTATTCTTTATTTTATGAACGGAAATATCAGACAAGTATTCTATACTGTTTGTCCGAGTATCAGGTCTGACCCAGGTACTTCATGAGGGAAGAGTCCAATGATTTTATGTACCTACATCAAACCCCAAAAATACTTTTGAAAATAAAATTATGTTCAGCAACAAAAAAAATGCTTACTTCTGGGATTGTGTGCTCAAGTACTGATTCAACAGCAACCACCATGGCTTGTACAAAATCTTCACCTCCAGTGCCAATTGCAGTAAAGCCTCTAACAGTTGGATAGGAGTTTACCTGCAAAGTAAAACAAAACACTCTCCAATCAGTAAATATCAATGCGAGCTAGGACCAGGAGATCCCCCACTTTTAGACTCAACGGGAAAAAATAGTTTGTAAATCAGAACTAGATATGTTGCGTTTGAACATAAAGAAGCATAGAAAAGAATGCAAACCAGAAACTTAAGTGTTAAAATAAGCCAAGAAGAAAATCCAGACAGCATTGCGTACCTTCTGATCCAGAACAAGCCATTCATTTGTCGAATCATCTGTCACTGTGCCTCCAATAACCACATTTGTTGTTTGTCTCACCCTTCCTTCTGTCTTTGAAACTTCTGTAAACTCACAAGATTTAGTTTAAGTAATTTAGTGCGGACAAATTCCAACTCAAGGGATTAATTACAAGAACAATAAAACAGAGTACAAACACTCTAAATAATTCCTAAAGCATTGCATTTCCCATTCTAATTTCCCTGTCATCATATCTTTGCATGGTTGATATTACCAGATAAGACCCAGACCTCAATCTTCTCACACAAATTAATACATATCCCAAAAACTGACATGGTCATTTTACAAGTGCAAGTTTTATTCTTTATACAGGAGCATAGAAGCAAATATAAATGCAATAAAGAATTACAGTAGTTATAGTAGCAGAAGCTGTAAAAAAAATTACTACAATTTTCCATTAATAACCCAATAAACAAATCCAAATACGTGCTCATATATGTATAAGAAAACACAAATCTCAAAATTAAAAGATGAACCTGAAATGGCCTTTAGAACGGCTTCTTGAGGCGGGCCTTGCTCGTTATCATCATCAGATGAAGATGGGTTTTCATTGTGCGAAGAATTCAAAGGCCGAGTCCTCCTTGCGAAGTGCAAGTTACATCTAACTTTGGCAATTTTGAAGCCAAAATAGGAATCGGATGATGATATTTTGTGGGATGGAGTAAAAATGGATATTTTGTTTTTACACGGCAGAGGCTGCCATGACTCTGTTAAGAACACAGTTCTGAACACACTCCTGCACGCCATTTTTGAATCCTTTGTCTTGAAATTTGATTATTTAACGCTTTTTGAGAGTTGGTTTTGCCTTCAAATAGTTGAAGGAATCAACAGTTCGCTGTGAATTTTTTCCTAACAAATTTATTTTTGGGGCGATTAATTCTTGAGGAATGCAGTTAAAAGCACTGCAGATTTTTCTTGAGCCAAGAGGGCTACTGCTTTTGGGTACAGAAAGACGAGAGTACCCTGGGAAGCCAACCACAAAACATTTAAATCTCGAGTCCCTAACCTTTACCCAATGTAACACTTCAATCCCGAAAAATATATTTTTTGAAATCTTAACCTTTTTTTTTTTTTTTGATATTCAAGTTTCTCAGTTTACACCAGACTATATCATGTACCACCCAAAACAGGTGCCTCAACTCTGGGCGGAGGTAAATCGCGGGTTATGTCCAATCAAGCCAGTGTCCATGCAAGCTTTATACTCCTGGCCTCAAGGGAGCCCTCCTGCGCTGAACTTACATCACCAAACTGCTCCACCACATGGTTTGGGTATTACAACACTTGGCTGCCCTGTCCGTGATTCGAACTCCTCACACTGGGATTGCAAGCCCAGCCTTACACTGTCTTTGCCATCTTGGATGTGCCCCGGGACACGAAATCTTAACCTTTTATTTTGTGGTCAAGTCGTCGGTGAAGGAAAATAAATATGATTAACTATTAAAAGTATTGTGGGATTTGAGTGGTAAAATAGCATCCGCTGAATAACGATTTTTGAAATATTTTCAAATCAAATCATTTTAAACAGTTTAAGAAAAACTCAATTTTTTTTTAGATTTTTTCAAACCAAAACTTAATTGTTTGATTCAATTTTAAACGATGATTTTGTCATATATTTTTTCCTCATGTTCATTTTATCGTCACTAGTACAATGACAATAAAATGTTTTCGAACTTTTTATTGGAGATAAAAAAAAATTTATATATCTAACTATAAGTTTAAATACCAACAAAGTCGAATAAAAGTCTCAACAATGGGGTTATGAAATTAGGATAATTTATTAATTATGGGAATTTAGTAATCGACATACTATTAAATTACTCATTATTGTTTGAAATTTTAGTAGTTATATGTTTTCTAGAGGCTAAAATTTAAAATTTCTAGCAATTTTTTTTATATATATTTTAACTTTTTTTTTTCAAACTTGACTTTAAAATTCCAAAACCGTTTAGGTTTTGGCTCATTTCAAACCTATTTTCATTAATGGGTCCACGTGATATCAAATCGATCGTTTCAAAAAACGTTTTCAATTCAATTTTTCGATTTAACAGTTTTTGCTTACATCCTTAATACATAAGCTTATGTTGAACTCCGATCTTCTTTAGATTTCAATGAGACTAATTCTTGTTCCATATTTGTCATTCCTCGTACGCTTTTCCCTCATTTAACATTTTCACCAACTTATATCAAGTGAGTCCAGACTGACCAGACATCTTATATTTGTTATTATATCAAATTTAAATATAACTACAAAAAAATCAAACTAAAACTTGAATCCATATTTTCTAGACTAAGTGTAATTGCATAAATGACATATAATATAATATAATACTCGAAAGTTTTAAATGTATGAAACTATATTCATTTGATAGGGGACGACTTTTAGCCCCCGTTTGACACCCATTTTTTTTATTTCATTCTCATTTTTCTACGGTACTCATTTCTAACTACACATTCTCCAAATAAAATAATATTACACATAAACCCAAAAATTCTTCTTACTTTTTAACCACACATTCTTTACATCAATCACTATTCAAAAACTCATTCTTCAAAAGAATGGGTGCCAAACAAGCCCTTAATTGACTGCCACATGTGAAAATTATATTGGAGGGCAATATTGAGAAATTACATAAATGACGGAGGTGCCCGGAACAATGGATCCGGGTGGACCGTTATCCATTCTACAGAGATATCGAACCGTGGCTTAATTGCAAAATCCCGAGAAGTACTGGAACGCAGCCCGAATATCAGAAAACGAAAGAGATTAATTTCACTATTGAGTCACTCAAATTTGTAAGAAATTCAAAACGGGTACTTAAATAATTTTATTACTCTAATTTATGATGATTTCATAATCCATCACTCATTTAGAAAAAATATTGTAAAAAAGTCTCTGAGTTGCCATTGAGTACAATAGTTGTCTAATAGAAATTTTGCATGAGTTTTCCTAATCGATAGATCAATTGTGAAAATTCTTGTAAGGACCACTTCGAAGTTTCTTACAAACTCGAGTGATCCATTGGTGAAATTAATTGCTATAGAACCCTAGGCAATTAGCAAAAACCACAATTGAATTTTGGTCTGATCCCAGAAGCACCGAAATGTATAGAGCAGAGCCTGTAACTGAAGAATCAGAGCGAACTGCTTTTCGTAAAGCCGAGAAGAAATACAAAATTTACTACGACAACGCCAAAAAGTACGTATTTTTAACTTGCAATTTCAATTCTATTCAAAATTTCGCCCTTTTTTTTTATCTATATCCGTTAATTTTTGTATGAATGGATTTAATGTAATTGCAGGAAGAAGAGGCCGAGACCAGTTGATTTATCGGAGGTAGATTTTTTTAATAAAATATTATTAAAAAAAATTCTCAAAATTTCAAAGTAAACGCGTTTTCCATTTTTACGTTTTCGAAAACAATTTTTCAGTACGGCAAAAAGAACGCATTTTCAAAAATTTCAAAACAGACACTCAAAACACAAAATACAAAACGAATTCAAAACTCAAAATACAAAACTGAAACACAAAGAGAACGCCCCCTAATTGTTTGGTTCAATTTTAAACGATGATTTTGTCATATATTTTTTCTTCATGTTCATTTTATCGTGACTAGTACAACGACAATAAAATGTTTTCGAACTTTTTATTGGAGATAAAAAAAAAAATTTATATATCAAACTATAAGTTTAAATACCAACAAAGTCGAATAAAAGTCTCCACAATGGGGTTATGAAATTAGGATAATTTATTAATTATGGGTATTTAGTAATTGACATACTATTAATTACTCATTTTTGTTTAAAATTTTAGTAGTTATATGTTTTCTAGAGGCTAAAATTTAAAATTTCTAGCAAAATTTTTCATTTTTTATATTTTAACTTTTTTTTTCAAACTTGACTTTAAAATTCCAAAACCGTTTAGGTTTTGGCTCATTTCAAACTTATTTTCATTAATGGGTCCACGTGATATCAAATCGATCGTTTCAAAAAAGCGTTTTCAATTCAATTTTTCGATTTAACAGTTTTTGCTTACATCTTTAATACATAAGCTTATGTTGAACTCCGATCTTCCTTAGATTTCAATGAAACTAATTCTTGTTCCATATTTGTCATTCCTCGTATGCTTTTCCCTCATTTAACGTTTTCACCAACTTATATCAAGTGAGTCCAGACATATTATATTTGTTATCAAATCAAATTTAAATATAACTACAAAAAAATCAAACTAAAACTTGAATCCATATTTTCTAGACTAAGTGTAATTGCATAAATGACATAATATAATACTTGAAAGTTTTAAATGTATGAAACTATATTCATTTGATAGGGGACGAGTTTTAGTTGAGTACCACATGTGAAAATTATATTGGAGGGCAATGTTGAGAAATTACATAAATGACGGAGGTACCCGGAACAATTGATCCGGGTGGACGGTTATCCATTCTACAGAGATATCGAGATTTGGCCACTACCGTGGCTTAATTGCAAAATCCCGAGAAGTACTGGAACGCAGCCCGAATATCAGAAAACGAAAGAGATTAATTTCACTATTGAGTCATTCAAATTTGTAAGAAATTCAAAACGGGTACTTAAATAATTTTATTACTCTAATTTATGATGATTTCATAATCCATCACTCATTTAGAAAAAATATTGTAAAAAAGTATCTGAGTTGCCTTTGAGTACAATAGTTGTCTAATAGAAATTTTGCATGAGTTTTCCTAATCGATAGATCAATTGTGAAAATTCTTGTAAGGACCATTTCGAAGTTTCTTACAAACTTGAGTGATCCATTGGTGAAATTAATTGCTATAGAGCCCTAGCCAATTAGCAAAAACCACAATTGGATCCCAGAAGCACCGAAATGTATAGAGCAGAGCCTGTAACTGAAGAATCAGAGCGAACTGCTTTTCGTAAAGCCGAGAAGAAATACAAAATTTACTACGACAACGCCAAAAAGTACGTATTTTTAACTTTCAATTTCAATTCTATTCAAAATTTTGCCCTTTTTTTTTTTTAATCTATATCCGTTAATTTTTGTATGAATGGATTTAATGTAATTGCAGGAAGAAGAGACCGAGACCAGTTGATTTATCGGAGGTTATTGATTTCAGATCTATTTTAGAGTCGTTTAAACGTGGTGGCGATCTTCCTGCTGGCGTTTTCGAACTTAAATGTGATTTTAACCAACCTGTTTTCGGCCTAGTAACTCGCCCTGGTACGTTGAACACGAATATCTGCAGTTCTTAATTCCAATTGTACCTATATTTGTAATTGCTTTGAACCAAATTAATGCTATATGAAAAGATTTCAAATTATTAGTATCAGTTGAGTGAATGGAGATTAAGTTCTTAATAGTTATCTTTCTTAACAAAAAATAGAAAGACATGCAGTTTCTATAAGTGACAAGCAATGCGTCAATTTTCTAAATTAATGCTACAGAAAAGACACGAGAATGAATGTGCACTTTATACAGTACGTTTTGATGTACCTGCCTTTTCACATGTATCTGCACAAAACTGTATGTAATGTGGGAAATTTTGTGGGCAAATGCAGGTTTTTATTTTATCCCTGCAGCGTTAAGCATTGAGGAACAATGCCATTGGATAAGGGAAAGTTTAACAAGCTTTCCTCAACCCCCTAATAGAACAAACCACAATGCAATTTATGGACCTGTACATGATTTATTTTTGGCGGCTAAAGAAGGAAAAGTTTTCGTTGAAGAGGTCAGACTGCCTGAAAACGTTATTTCCGAGGCAAATCTCAATCAATGTGATGTAAACGCCCTCCATTGGAAATATGTCAAAGAATTTGATGAATCATTTAGTGGAGATGCTTGCAAATCAGTATCAGCTTCCGTTTTGTTGCGCAAGTTACGGTGGAGCACCCTTGGCCTGCAATTTGACTGGTCCAAGGTCTTGCTAAATTCCTTCTTGTGATAGTTCAATTGACTGCTTTATGTTTTTGTCACTAAATATTAGCAAGCGAATGTACAGTATTAAAAGGGATACCTCGTGTACGTCGTATTGCCTTTGAAAGTACGTTGGCTAAACGTTATGAGGTTATTGATTTATGGATGCTGTGTCAAACTTGTATCAGACTCTGCCTTTTCCATTGCACTTGTCTCCTTAATGTTCATGGAAACTCACACCTCATTTTGGTTCTTAAGCAAGTATTTTACATGTTTGTGCAGCGGAGTTACAATATTGATCTTCCTCACAAGAAGATCCCCGATAAACTTTGTATGTTGGCGAAAAGGATGGCAGCACCTGCAATGCCATGCGGCGAAGAATTCCATCCTGAAGCTGCTATAGTTAATTACTTCGGGTTGGGTACGCCTTAAATTTATTAGTGATCTTACAAAATTTGACATATGATTCAATCTCAACTACAGCGCTGCTTAAATTTTGTGCTGCGGTTGGATGTATGTTAAAAGGAGCTTATATACCTGATTTTTTTGTACCCTCAAAATCACATGACTTGCGATTATCTTGCAATTTGATCCTTGCTACTGAATAAAATCACTTGGAATAAGAATCAGCGCAAATCTTATACTCCACTTTTTATTTCATCCGAAAAACCTTCTTACAATTCACTTGGCTCACTAACAGTATGATCATTTTCCTCGTTTTCGTAATTTTGTTTTATATATTTTAATGTTTGCTTCTTATTGATTCTAGGAACTCAAACTGTTAGTTTGAACTTTGATGTTAATTTGGACTTATCTCTTTGTCCCAAAAGATACTTCTTAACTGTTTTGCTATGAGTAGCACTTATTTTGCTTAATATCAGTTATTCTTCTGTCAAGTTTGTTCTTTTACATGTAAAAAGGTTGCTGTGATGCTTCTTGCAGTTTGTATCAAAACTTACGATTTAATTCGATTTACTAATTGCTGAAGATTTGATTTATAATTTGATCTGGAATGACAGTTGTGTAGAAGCGATAATGGTAATTGTTGTCATTCTTTTCAGGTGATATGCTTGGCGGGCACCTTGATGACATGGAAAAAGATTGGAGTAAACCTATTGTAAGCATTAGGTAGGTTTCTAACAAATGCTCAATGTTTTTTTCTCCTGTCCATGTCACATTGCTTAACATGCTGCAATAAAAAATAAAATAAAAAATTGTCATCCTCAGTTTTGGTTGCAAAGCTATTTTCCTTCTCGGGGGGAAATCTAGGGAACATACACCTATTGCCATGTTCCTCCGAAGTGGTGATGCTGTTCTTATGGCTGGAGAAGCAAGGGAGTGTTTCCATGGTGAGTAGACTAATATTCAGTTTCCACTCTTCCTCTTGTGAATCTTAACATGAAATGCTGGAATTTGTCAAAATAAATTTGCATTTATCAAGAAATTAATGCGAGCATAACCTATTTTTCATTTTGCAGGTGTTCCTAGGATATTTACTGACCCAGAAAATGCTGAAATAGCCCCCCTTGAATCACAGTTTTCAGATGAAGACAACCTCCCTTTCTTGGATTACATTCGGACTTCGAGAATCAACATCAATATCAGACAGGTTTTCTGAATTTTGCTTTCTCGTCGTGATTTTATGTAGGGGGAAGGAGAAATTTTGTGAAAGGAATGTTCTATGTACAATTAGTCCTCTTAACTATATTCTAGTTGTTTATCGATCGTCAAAATTATGAGAAAAATAGTTTACTTGACGTTGTTGACAGCGAAGCTTGCTAAAAACTTACGGAATTCAATGCTACTTTAGCCAACTTTTTATTATTTCATTTTCTGTATCCTAAGATGGTTCAGTTCTGCCAAAAAAAAAAAAACAGTTCGATTGGTCTTGCTCAATTACCTCCGATCCTTGAGTTATATTGTAAGGTTGAATGCTTTTGCGCCTTGTCATAATTTAGTACTTCATACGAATGATAGATTTATCAGCTGAATTGTATTCTATGATTTCTCCGAGGCATTTGTATTTTTGGTACAGTGCATTAGCCCATTTTCCTTTTCACAGCAGGAAAGGGTGACGGTAACATATCTATTGATACGTCAATTCAAAAACAATACTCTTAGCGTCTGCTTGGTAGAGATTCTTTGAGAATAAATTTTGTGAAAGAAAAATGAATTTTCGAAAATGCAACGAGGTGGGCTTCTATTTCTCATCAAACAGATAGATGTAATTTACATCATTGGAACAAGAAAAGTAATCTGAGTGCAAATTTTCATGAAGATGGACATGTGGTTGGGCTAGAACGAATAATATAATAAAGGAGTAGTGTTAGTCTTTGTTTGTCGTATTATTTGAAATAAAAAATAATTTTATTTATTATTATTATTTTTTTTAGGAGAATTTGTAGTTCAAAATTATGAAAAAATTACGGGTACATGTGTAAAAATTTTATTTGAAGAATATGTTGTTGAAAATGAATTTAAGATATAATAATTTTAAAATAAGTTGGGCCACTCAATCGTTAAACTATATCAATTAAGCACATGTTTGATCAGCATTCTCATTTTTCTACTTATTTCCAATCACATTTTTCAATAAAATAATATTTTTCATCACATTAATAATTTTTTTTTCTTTTTTAACCACATATTCTCCATTACATCACAAAAAAAAATGCATTATGTTGACCTCAAAAAATGTATCAATGATATGGCCAATAGATCTCAAATTTCCTCACGTCCATGTAAGCTAAATCCCAGCACACTTGGATAAATCGTTGGTTTACTGCACGCACTTTAATGGTTGAGTAGGCTAGAGGAATAATTTGGGGGGTGTTGGCGAACTTAGAACGTAAGCCTCCAATCGAAAAGGGGGTCGGTTTTGGGAGTAGAATGCTGAGAGTTTATGTAGTAAGGAAATTGAATTGAGTCTAAACTTTTCTCTCCCTGGAAATGACACTAAGTGTTGCTTTTATAGTAGAGGATGATGATTAAGAGTCGTTAGATGGGGGGCACATGGCCTCATCCTCACAGCTGGGATATCTTGCCATAGCCATCAATCAATCATTCATAGGTCATTTTGTATTTAATGTTGTGATGACTTGGCAGCCTTAATCGGTTCATCCCGACATGTAAAACTTGACTTGACTTGTTTGATTGAGTAGAACTACCTATTTAATGAGTTGTCACATCACCCACTTGATACAAGATCTAGTATGAAAATCTTCTCTAATACGCATCTATCTCTCATGTCATCCATTGGGACTCAATCCTTCATAGGGGTTCGGCCGCAATAGGGGTTCGGCCAAATTGTCATATGGACAGAATGGTGTGATAACAAGGTCGTCCAGATTGTCATGTAGGATGTGGGGCTCTCACCATCTACCACATAGTTCAATTAAGTATGATTATTTATATGAGTAATACATTATTTCCATTTTAATGTGCATCAAACACACTCTTACTATTAGAATTGAAAAAAAAAAAAAAGAATTTATATACTCAAATTTACCAAGAATAAGACTTTTATACTGATAACGTTTATCTGAGACTTTAAAGAATTAAGGGAACGATACACACATATAATGCGGTTAGAAGATACAATTTCAAGATTAACATACATGTTTTAAAATTCAAAAACCAGTTCATAATTAAATATATTAAGGTCACAATAAAAAAAATGTCAAAGTCACAAATCACAAATTTCATAGGTCTCAACTTATTTATCAATATCAAATTATTAAATTAATTATTCATGCATTATTTATATTTTTTTATCACAAATCTCAAATTTTATAGATCAAAATTTATTTATCGGTTACAAATTATCAAATTAATAAGACGTACTATTTCTCGATCACAAATTATTAAATTAATTGGTTACAAATTTAGTCACAATCTCACATTTTATATTTCACAAATTATTAATTTTAACGATCACATATTATTTGTTGACTATAAATATTTTTCACCTCTCTTCATCTCACCTCACTCCACCCCTCTCTCTCCAGCTCTAAAATGATTCTAATGCACTCCCATCTATCCACAACAGTGTATGACCCCCTTCTTTGTTACCCTCTCTATCATCCCCCGTCTGTCAAACCCCTCGTCTACCTACTATATCACCTCGTAGCTCTAAGGCCTCATTCTTAAAGTCTATCACTTCTACCTCTCAGAGAGTCAATGAGGATGGGTTCAAAGACAAGATTGTGACAAGATAGAGATTCATCAAAACCTGAACACCAATCCAAAAATGATGGCAAAAAGGTTTAGCTTAACTTGCCCCTTCAAATTGAAAGTATTAGATTAGGATTACAATTTTCATGCTTACAACATAAGGAACCAAATGCCTAGTACATTCTGGTCCTCACCAACAGACTAAGCTCCTGTTTGATACACATTCTTTCAAAACTCATTTTCAATCACACATTTTTCAATAAAATAATATTTTTCATCACATCAATAACATTTTTTTTATTTTTTAACCACATATTTATCATCATATCACTATTTAAAATACATTCTTTCCTCAATAACCCATGAAACACACCCTAAACAAGTAATGTCAAGAACTAGGTCTGGATGATTGCATAATTATATTTTTCTTACTATCCAATCACAAAATTCCAAATGTACATAGCAAAGCACACTAGACACAACAGAGATTGCATCCCTATTCTTCCTCGTCGGAATCATTTTCACTTGAGCTGCTTGAATCTCCCTTCTTATCAACGGATGCCTCGACCTGCTTGTATGCCTTGGCCATTTCCTCGACCGGAACTAATGGAAGATAACTGAAGACGGTGTAACCTTTTGCAGTCATGTATTTGACCAAATTATTGTACTTCTCAGACCAGTGTGCAGCTGTAGGAACAGCCAGCTCTGCCACTCCATGCAAGGCAGGATAGTGGTGAACTTTGTACCACACGACAGCCAATTGGCTCACGGCAAAATGCTTGGATATTGTACCCAAGTGGAAAATTGCAGCACGTGGTCCAGCAACCTGAGCTTCTTTCAACAAATCTTGGGCTACCTGCGATGCCTTGTTGACAACTGATTGGGTTTTACTCACTGCTTTCTTGGCCAAAGGTGGAGCCCATTCGTCAAATTTGTATGTTGCTTCATCCACCTAATATTACAACACTTGTATTTAGACCATGGAAACAAACAAGGAGACCCACATCTTGCTCATGAAACAAATACAAAGAATTAGAAGTATACTACCAAAACAACTTGGATGCCGATATAAAGGGGGAGTGAAGAGTAGACCGTAATAAATAGGTGAAACACCAGTCACAAAAAATGCATTTCAAGCAGACAGACACATTTCAATCACATTTTGTATTATTATATTGGCTTTGAGTATGATATATAAGGTCTGCGAGTAATTCCCTTTAACAATATTAAATATTAATAGTTTCAGGTACCATGAAATGTATTTTCCTAATCATTTTGCTTCTATTGGTTTGGATAAAACAGGAGTAAAAAACAATCACAAGAAATGCATTTCAATATGCTTAAGGCATTTGTGCTAGTGGTAATCATCTTAAACCCATATTAGAACTGAATTTCTGCAGTAAAGTTCTAAGTGTCTCGAGCTTCATCGCTCTTATAATTAAAGAACAAACTCACACTTGCTCTAGAGAAGGTCTTGATATATATAATAAAGAAAATCCAATGACCCCTAGATTGTTACGAAGTCAGTTCTTTCGACATTTATTATTTGTGTTGCGCGCAAATGCAACAAAACAAACAAATGAAAACCAGCCCATAACATGAATGTGAACAGCTTACAAATGATATGTTTGAATTTATGAATCCGACCGTGCAGACAGCAGAGCCTACTAACTCGATCGTAAAATTTATGTTTTGTAAAATTGTCAAAGAAAATCAAAGAAATTATTTTTTAAGGCGGAGCATTTAACCTGAAATAAATCTGCCAATCCCACAGACAACCATCAATCAAGGAAAATGTACAAAACTCAAAATCCACAAATCAATGTTGAGACTTCCATCAAAAAGGAACAATTCATTGGAGCAAATACACGAACTACTCTATGTACAATTCCAGGATCGACGAAAAATCCAGAAACATAATTCTGGACAGATCAAACTGCAAAACAACCAATACATATAACCAGGAACAAAACCGAAAAGATACTTTAAAAATAATAAAATTACCTTCTTATCAAGAAAAACAAGAACATCGCCAGGAACGTCATTAAACTTCTCGTAAACGGGGCCAACAACAGCTGTAACGGCGTTTTCTACGGTGCCGACGGTGGATTTGAGCGGACCGGAATTCTGCTTCGCGTAGTCGTAAAGATTCGACACCATCACCACAGCGTTAATCGCCAGAATCCTCACAAACATCAGATGCTTCAATTGCATTTTACTCGCCTCCACTTCAACCTAACATCATATCAACAACAATATTAAAATCACAAAGTAATAATTCGAAAAAGAAAATCAAAATTGAAACCAGATCTTAATTACCTTAGCAGAAGCCATGTCTTGTAATCTAGAACTTCAAGAGAAATTGCTAATCAAAATTTTGTCTTCTTCAGATTCAATTTTCAATCTTTTATGCCGACGAT